GACGAGTCCAGCGAGCTGCACCGCAAGCGGTATGGGTACCGGCTGGACTACCACGAGAGGCGGCGGAAGAAGGAGGGCCGCGAGGCCCACGAGCGGTCGCGGAAGGCCAAGAAGATGATCGGGCTGAAGGCCAAGCTCTACCACAAACAGCGGCATGCGGGGAAGATACAGATGAAGAAGCCGGGAGTCCCCGCCGCCGCTCTGGCGCCGTCCGGTCACCCCGGATGAGTCGGGGACGTCGGTGTCGTTACAAAGAACTCCCGACGGCTCGCATCGTTCGCTGTACTTTCACATAGCGCCGACGTTGTAGGAGAAAGTGGGGTTTGCCACAGCGAAGGCACTTCCGATTGCCGATTTTCTTTCCTCTCAGTGGATGTTAGCAATTCTGCTCCTGAAAGCATTCCGTAAGATGAGATGAGTGTTAATTAGCAGTAGCAGTGCTTAATGGTGTTATGACAAAAATATGAGTGCATTTACTCAGGGTCTTTACATCAACTGCTGTATTAGCGTAGCAAGAGGCAGCAGGCATTTTTTGAACAGCATTAATAGAAAAAGTACAGTAACGTACAGAGTGTTTGAGCAGAACATGAGGCTTGTCTTCCAGGATAAATTAACAGTACCAAGCATAGGCAAACAAAAGCTTTTTCCTGAACATTTTCTCTGTTGTTCAGAAATTGAAATCAAAGCTGTTAACAAGCTTTATTGCTAGTGAACTTAATACCTAGCCACCATGTTGTTTTTGTTGTTTCCCAGGCACAAACAGTTATTTATTTTCCTCTGCTACTTGTACAGGCATGGGGTTTGCTAACTAGTTTGTGGGTCTTTTTTTTTTTTTTTTTTTTTTTTTTTTCCCCTAAATGGCCTCAAAATTAACAAAACATGACCCTTTTTACACACACAAGTTCCTTAGATTTGTAAGCATTGCCATCAAATCTCAGAAGAGCAGCATTGTGTTATTTTTTTGTCAGAGAGGAAGGCTACTCTCTCTCCAAGTGCTCGGCTGCTTGGTTTTAAGTCCTTCAGAAATTACTCCATAAGATGGATGTCTTGTGTTTCTCTCTCGACAAGCTTTTATGCACTGTGCAGTCTGTCACTTGCCACATCAAGTGAAACTACTAGTTTACCTTGAAAATTATTTAGGGTTATTCCTTAAATATAAGTATGTCCTTGTTTACAAATATATCTTAAAAGAAAATTTTGAGCAGGCACAAGAATAAATCTAAAATCCAAATTCAAAAACTTCAGAAGGATGTATCTAAAAATGAACTTTTTTTTTTTCTACCCTTTAATGCTGGTTTTCTTTCCTTGCAGCATTAAAATGCATGAAAAGAGAAATACAAAGAAAAAGAATGATGAAAAAACGCCAAAGGGAGCTGTACCAGCATACCTGCTGGACAGAGAGGGCCAGTCCCGGGCTAAGGTTCTCTCTAACATGATCAAGCAGAAAAGAAAAGAAAAAGCCGTAAGTAACTGTATTAAAATTCCGATACTTACAACTACTTGTGATAGTGACAGCTTTGTGTTGCAGATGCTCAGGTGACTTGCAGCCTACAAGCAAAGTCTAAATAAAACCTGAAACCTTGAGTAATTGAGCAGTCTAGGCCAAAGTAAGCATATGCAGTACCTTGATTGTTCTAACTTTAAATGCTAATTAAAATAAGTAGCTCTGAGTTCTATAAAGTGTATGGTCTACTGCTACACTTTAGGGAAACTTTGTTTTATGCTTTGCTGGTCCCCTTTCATTTAGCAATGCAGCCTCTTAAGACTATTGACTTTTTTTTTTTTCCCCCCTTTCCAGGGAAAATGGGAGGTTCCTGTGCCAAAGGTCCGTGCACAAGGAGAAACAGAAGTTTTAAAAGTGATTCGTACAGGAAAGAGAAAGAAGAAGGCCTGGAAGAGAATGGTTACAAAAGTTTGTTTCGTTGGAGATGGCTTTACTAGGAAGCCTCCTAAATACGAGCGATTCATTCGACCAATGGTAATGTCCTTGAGCCTTAAAGGATGTTTAAGTAATAATTCTTTTGACCTACTCCACTGAGTTCCTGTGGTGAGGAAACTTTCTTCTCTGATAGCGCACTTGATTACTACAGATGTAGATTGTGCTGAAATCTCTCTCCTCTTACTCCCGTACCTCAGATGATGCCCATGAGTTATAGCTACGAGCTGCCATGTTAGCATAGGAAGGTCTTCAGCAAAGGCACTTTGAGTAGCTCTTAAAGTTGGAGGCTTACTTTTTCAAGCTGCTGTCATTCTGCCAGCTGCAGAAGCCCACTCTGTTCTAGGACTCCAGCACTCCCTTTTCCTGGCTTGTTAAGAAAGCTGGAAGGACAGTGGCGACTGTGTGCATGGGAAGCACTGTGCCTCCAGCCTGACCTTTTCTTACACAGCTGCAGGAACAGTGCCTGGGCTCTAGCAGCCTGGTAGTGCACAGGAGGAGAAGTGAGATTCACCCAGAGCGTCTAGTTTTTCTACAAACACCACTTCCTGTTTCCTCACAGGAACCAACAGCATCACTATGCAGGCTTCCTGTTGGATTGTACCTCATTACTATTTTGATGGTCATCTTACACAGAAGCCTTGGATAGATTTCTATTGGCACAGAAAAGTTTACCTTTAAGTACCATAAAGTACCCTTTATGAAGCATAGGTTGCTAGATAAAAAGTGCTGTAAGAACTGGGTATTTCACATTTTACAGTATGTGAAAGGTTTTTCAGTCCTACAAGAAAAAAAGGGAAAATTTCTAGTCTTAAAACACAGTAGCACTGTTAAATGTGTTGCCATAAACGCCTCATTTCTTCATGGAACAGAAGACATCTGAGGTAGTGTTAGTCTTGTACTACTATTAAAAATTGACGTCCTGAAAATACTCATGGGAAGCTTTATCTTGTCATTCATCAGGTTTTTAAACCAACCTAGCATTCTATAGTAGGCAGATAGCATTCTGTATTCTAAGTTGTTCCATTCTTCCCAGTCTCTCAAAACTTATGAAGCTGAAAGCGTTAAAGTGTATTAGTCGTGAGGGCTTAAAGCTTATATTAACTCATTCTAACACTCCTTATGCAACAGGGCTTACGTTTCAAG